AAATGTTTATTTTACACTTAGCATGAATAATTGTAGATGTAAAGCATGTTAGATGATCTAAATGTAGAAATAAAGGTACTTTGCCGCAGTTTGTGTCGTCATGTGCTGCTGATCTCATCACATATTTTCTATTATTGCCACAACTCACAGATTTGTCTCGCGGCGGTCGTTAAAGAAACGGTGCCATCGGAAATATAAGGGACGTGCTTGAAACGGACGGTTTAAAAATCAGTCTGTGAAAATGCCAAACACAAACCTGTCCATCTTTATCTGCACGATAATTCCGATTTGACAAGAAAAGTAAAATCTCCAGAGAGAGAAGCCGGAGATGTGTTCCCCTCGTAATTTTTACTCCTGTTACGCTGTGAGCACAATGCATGATGGTATGTGTATATACTTTTCACAATGCACTGTGGGATACTCAACCATATAGGATATATAGAAATTCACTAAACGCACTTTATAAACACTGGATTTATAATTCAGGGGAATAAAATAGGCATTAACGAGCCCAGTTATGTATTAAACTGTTTGTAAATGTGGCTCCAGTTACTGTAGAGGACGTATTTCCCAAGTCTTATCGTCCAGACCCGTTTTCATGACTCTATAAATGTCTTTTCTTTAAATTCAGAGTGTCCTGCCAGAAGACACTTTAAACTATTCATCTCCATTTAGTCTCCATCTCTTCTCAATGGAAACAAATGGCCTCGATTTAGACGTAATGGACTTTACCACAGACTGATGGTAAAAGTGTGTCGGCCAAATTATGAGCTAACTGTTAAATTGAGAGTTTCTGTCTTCTACAACTAGAACCAATGATTTATTCTGTGTCCGAACAAATACCAGGTGTGTTACGGCTGTTGTGCAATGCTGTGTGTGTGTGTGTGTGTCCACCCTCCCCCTTCCATGGATCAAACCTGGATCCACTTCCCTCCTCAACCTGACTTGTGTGACCTGGAGCAGAGACAGTGTGCGGCCGGTGCGTCATCGTTACACCAGAGACATAAAGTTCGGGGAGAATTGGGTCCAAACACGCCGACGTCAGACGCACGCCCGTCCTCAAACAAATCAATGTCACGGATAAGAAGACACAGAGGTGACGAGGACAGGACGTGTGTAAAGCGTCACTCAAAATTCTTTAGTCTCTCTGAATTAAAACGTGAAACTAAAACTAACCAGGTCAAATGTAAACAGTGAAACAAAGACATGAAGCTTAGGCTGGAAACAAGTCCTGTTTGAGACAGAATCTATTTTTGGTGTAATACAGCCATTAAAAACAAATTCCTCCATTCACCTCCGTCCACATATTTTCGTATTAAATTTCAAAAAATCTATTCCGTCTCCGCCTGTGAGCCAATCATTCCATCGTCTGCATATTTCACACATGCCCGTCGTCCCAGATTCATGATAAAACCCTGGTGGGTGAAGCCATGTCAAAGAATGAAGGAGAGAAACTGTTATAAGAAGAAATAGAGTGCACGAATCTCTGCAGGGTCAGAGCAGAGACAAATGAAAACAGAGGCTGTTTGTGAAGTTGAATGGTCCTTTGGTTTTGAGGACTGCACAATAATCCGGTCACGTTTCCATCTCAGCTGCGGTCATGCCTCGGAGCTTCCTGCCACTGAACTGAACACTTGCCCGGCCTCCGAGACTCTGCACCGCGGCTATAATGAGTGCAGGCGACCGGGGACATTTTCTTTCAGCTTTCTCCACAAATGCCTCTCCACTCTTTATCCTGCCCCCCTTCTCAGTTTTTTTCACAGCCGTTTCAGGTTCAGTTTGATATTTAACGTTTCTCCTGCTTAGACACACAACACTTCAGAGAAAAGGCAGATTATGATGAAGGAGGTGAGGAGGAGGGAAGAGCCAGCAGGCCTGCACCTCATCTGTTGTTTTTCTGTTCCTCATGCTTTAACGATCAAATGCCCCCTGGTGGTTCAAACGAGTCACGTGCACGTTAATCTGCTTTTAACAGCCACAGCCTTTTGTTGTGAAACCATTCATGTCTTTTCTCAAAGCGTTCATCTTCAAAGCGGTCGTGTGAATATTAAAACGTGTGCTGTCAGCAACAGGAGATCTCAGCCCAGATACCTGAACATGCAGCGAGAAGTGTTTTCTCAAAGGGGGAAGAATTCTCAGATACTTTGCTTGATTATTATTTTTTTTTTACCATCTGCTCCAACACATGTCAGAGGAAAATGTACATTTAAATCCAGTTCATTTATCTCACAGCAATATTTACTGCTCAGAGTGATTTCCTCTTTAATCTTCAGATTTAAGTCGTAGTTTGAGGCCAGGAAGAGGACGAACTGCTCTGAGTTTCACAAACAGGATCAGGTACGACAATCATACCAGTGATTTAAAACTTAGGTTTGTTGATCATTAAATGCTAAAACTACAAGTGAGTTGAACATTTGACGTTCTCATTAAAAGTTATGATTTAGAGCTGATTGTAAAATGTTCTTAATTGGTTTGCAAGTGCTGACGTCAGCAACTCGAGTTGGGAGATGATTGATAATTATTGCTGACAGACAGTGGAGGTAATAAACTGGTGTTTTCTCCCGGCTTGCCTCCCCTCACTTTCCCTTCTTTAATTCCTTACAAGTGTCCTTGTGCAGAAACAGCTCATGCAGACGAGAACAAGAGCGATGGAGAACGAGCCTCCCTGTTATTCAGGGCCGCTGGGCTGCGATAGACCAGCTCCACCTGAGGGAACCAATGAACCGAGGCGGCTCGACAACTCAGGTGGAGGCCGATCAGCTTGTTAGAGAAAACAGGAGGAGGAGGGAGGAAGAAAAGAAGGAGGAGGGGAAAAAAACAAACCAATGCTTTGCTCCTGTCTGGCACATTACAACAGACACGTTTAGTCAACTTAGTTTTTTATTCTCCTCTCAACTGTTTACGACCTTGTGACGCTTATTACATACGTTCAATGTAAAGAATAATATTTAATGAAGTGTTTTCTTGTGTTGATTAAATGTAATTATACATAAACACAATTTATTTAATCAAATCACTCAAGTTATTCGATTTATTCCCACTAACTCAACATATCGAAAACCCTTCATTAAATGACAACTCCCCAGAGTATCATCAAGTATTTTTTCCACCGGTACATTGGTACTTCAACTCAAACAAAGGATCTGAATACTGTCTTTTTTCACTCTCTGTGTAAATAAACTCTATTCTTTGAGAGAATAACATATATTCGGTCAAATGATAGAAGCTGGTGGCCTATAGGCAAGAACCCATTATCATAAATCTGTGCATCAAGAGAATCTATTCATGGACGGATCACAATCTGTTTAAACAACTCTTCCGACATTAGAGACAAAAACCCAGAGGAGGATATTTACCTTTGTGAGCCGGCGAGCACCTATAGAGAGCTTGGGATCAACCGTGTCAGCCGATATACTCCAACTCTCCCCAGAGAGGTGGTCTCATGACCGGAATCCGCCTTCATGTAACCCAGCCTTTAAAATCAGAGGCATAAAAGACCCTGAAATCCATCAATCACATGGGCCAGTGACACGCCCGTCATCACAGACAAACAGGGCCGAGCAGTGAAACCGGAGACGCCGCTAAGTAGGCCATCAACTATTCATCCCTCCGTGATACGCCTACACCTCTCAGGTGTGATGCGGTCGGTACCGATTTCACCAGGCCGGGGCCTCGGTTGACGTTTATGGGAATCACTGCTGGCTGAGACGGCAGCTGCGTGAGGAGTCCAGTCACGCATCGGAGCCAGATTGCTCGCGGGGAGGACTGGGGCCCTGCATATTTCATGAGGGTATTCCAGTTTTAGGATCATTCATCAGCTGTTTTAGCAAAGTTGGTGACAAGCAAACCAGGAGTTACACTGGAGTGAGATCACTGTAGTTTTAAAAAATTCATCAGTGCAGGGACTTGTTAGTTGTTTTACCGACTAGTTGAATAAACGACTCATCCTGAAGAAGACTGTGTGAGTTATCGACCCGAACATTCGGTGTAATCAGTCGTTATAACAACCGAGAGCAGCGTCGAGCCTCCGAGCTTCGTCGTTACAAGTAAAGAAGTCAGTCACGATTGAGTCATTTATTAATTAAAGTGTATAAAACAAGAAAACACACAGTTCATGTCATTGCCTAATTCCATGCACTTACTCGACGCTCACACTTGAAGGTGAGGTGCACAGTGCCAGGTTTATAAGAGTCCATAAATAAACCACGGGAAATTGGCAGAAATCATCTACCTGCGACAAACAGCTTCTTCGTTATTGCAACGGAGTTCGTTGACGTTCAGATTGAGGCTTTAATTGCTTTTTTATTGATTAAATGAGTCTGAGAGATAAATCAATCCAATCGAGCATTACTCATGTCTGCGTGCACTATCAGAGTCTTTAAAAAGAAAAACAAGCAAACCCACAAAAACAAGAGAAGTTACCCATCAGCTGATTCAACAATTAATTCGTTTCGTTTTCAAGGTTAGAAAACAGTTACAGCCAAAGGAGGCATTTACATTTACATATATATATTTTTTGTCCACGCAAGATATTAAGTTGTAGTATCATTTGAAAAAGAAACTTTTTTTAAAGAATTAAGTTGTAATATTACGTGAATACATGTGTAATATTACAATGATAAAGTCATAATTGAGAGGAAAGTTGTAGTATTGAGAGAATAAAGTTGTAATTTAATGAGAAAAAGCAGTAAGAAGAGAAAATGTTCACTTCCTCTGGATCCATAATCTTGGACCAACCTCATTGTTCCTTGAGAAACCATGAAATCCCTTTGAATGTCATGCAGATGTAAACTAAAGTCTGAGTGGTTCTTATTTCAGAATAGACTCAGTTTCTTACACAATATTTTCAAAGTCCTGAGACTTATGATGATGAGGAGCTGATGTGATTTGTATTTGTGAAACTTATTGTTAAAAAAAAAACCCGCTTCACATTCCTCATTTTAACTTTTTTATTCTTATAATATTAAGACTTTATTTTCAAAACCTTTTTTTGGCTGAAAACCTTTGTGGTAAGTTTTAAATAACAAAGGAAAATAAAAATCATCAAATCTTAATGTTGTAGAATCCAAAACCGTCTTTTTTTAAATTTGTTGCAGTTTATCAAAATAGATGTTGGTTTATTTTCTCCTCATTTCAGTCTAATATTAATAATTCTTATAAGCTGCACTGAGTTTCTGTACTGGACTGGACTGGACTGGACTCATATGATTTGCAGTGGTAGCACCAGTTGGACCTGGTTCTTTGTGAGTGCTCTGATTGTGAGCACTTGAAGCAGCAATATGGCACCTCTGTCTGGATGTTGTGGTAATGTGGTATGTGGATTATATCATGTTTTGTTTTCGAAACGTTTTAAACAGATTAACAAACAGGAAACGATAAAAATTCAAGCTTGTGAACCTAAAGGAATCATTTGACATACCGGGAAATTTGCATTTTCACCTCTCTGGCCGAAGAGAAGACGAGAAAGTTGTTTCCACTTTCTGCCCGTCCAACATGAAGATGGAGAGTTAGCTTAGCTTAGCACCAGTGTAACCCTGTTGTGTCATAAATCTATGTTTTTAAGTAAATTGTACAAAAGTGAAGCCGAAATACTCCCAATCTGGATGTCATTTTTGGTCAAGTCGCCACTTTGGGTTTTAAAGTAAAAAACAAATTGCATGTTGTTATTGAATTAGCATATTCTAGAGTTGCTAGCATGCAGATCTTATTAGCTGTTTTTTGAATTTATGCTAAGCTACACTAAACCTCTGCTAGCTGATCGAGTGAGCCAAACCTTCTCATTTATCTCTTAGCCCGAAAAGTGAATTATTGTGTTTCCCAAAATGTTTGAACAATTCCTTCAACGCATGAACATAAAATCAAACGTGCACAAACGATGAAGAGAACATACGACACATATCAATTCAAAGCAGGATGATTCAAAATCCAGAACCTCCAGTCTCTGCTGAGTGATTTGTCTTTATCTTGCGTCCTAATCGTTGTTACACCTGCCGTAGTAGCTGAAGATGGTGTTGTCTATCCACCTGCGGTACTTGGACACGGCAGTGTAGACTCCAGGAAACAGGGCCTCGGCACAACCTTTCCCCCAGGACACCACGCCGTAGAGCCGCCCTTCACACACAAGTGGACCCCCAGAGTCCCCCTGAAACAGCAGAGAGGAGTCGAGCTTTACTGAAGAGGACAGATTATATTTATTGTTTATATTGCTGTCGACAAATCCCATGAAAAGACCAATTAGATCTAGTACCTTGTTGTTTTCCAATATCTATTAAAAGCACATCAGTGAACCACACTATTGCACTGGGTGACAAGTATGGTAAAAACTTTATGGATGATTGCACAAGCAAGCATTTGGCAAATAGCACCGCCCACAGCTATGCAACAGAACACAAAGTTAGAGATCTCTTACGTTATTCTGAAAAGTATAAACATTTGTTTTGGGTTCATTGTGAAACTGTAGCACGACAAATAAAAATACACTGATCGCCACAGTCTAGATAACTAATCTGAAACGCTGCTGTGAAGAAGTGAGACTGAGCGTTAGCCTCGGTGGAGGTCGAGCCCCCAGAGGTGCATTGACACTGGAAGGTTTCGTTTTACAGTTTGAAACAGACCCATTTTATTCCGCTGGGTACAGATTGTTATCGTTGGGGATCTGGGAACTCAGACTGTTTCACTTCCTGGTTCTGTGGTTGGTTTGTATGTGTCCTCCCTGACAGTGAGTGCTGCTGGCTGGGCATGGCCTCCTCCTGGTCACCTGCTTCTCATCTTCCAATCATAACACTCACCTGCCTCTGTGTAGGTCCGGTTCCATCACCACTTCTCTGCCAGGACATTTACCTCCACTGTGGATAATCCAATAATCAAAGCCAGTGTTAACGAGCTCCTCTCACCTTACAGGCATCTTTTCCACCAGTGCTGTAACCAGCACAGAGCATGTTTTCTGTGATGGTGCCGTTAAAGGACCCAGTGCTGTTGCATTTCTCTGTGGAGACGATGGGGAGTTTGACTGTGCGGAGGGTTGATGGGATCTGGCCTCCGCTGGAGCTGGTGTATCCCCAACCTGACACTCGACACATTCGGCCCTCCGCCATGGAGGCATCCTGCCTGGGCAGCAGAGCGATGGAGACGTAGCTGTTCAGGTAGATCGGAGCCCTCAGCTGAAGAGAAGGTGGACATTGAGATCAGTTACCTAAATCTAATTAAGTCATGTGGAGAAACATTAAAAAATATAAAAAGTAGTTGGTATACTGTGCCTTAATAAGCATAATGTCGTTGTTGTTGGTGATGGGGTTGTACTCAGGGTAGGGCACCAGATGATGGGGCAGGATCTCCTGCTCTGTGCCCTCATAGATGCTCAGAGAGTAGTCTCCTGCTACTACCATCATTTTGTCCACCCTGCAGAGATAAGAAGCACATTCAAGTATCTGTCCGTACATGTTACGTAACCGCTTCACTCTCGGCAGTTACTCCGAGGTCTTCAGGTGACAACTTGGTGGATGAGAAAGCAAGAAAACCTCTAAACTTTACTCACAGGCCTATGTCCGAAATATGAATGGGTCCCACCAAAGTTACACAGGAAGGAATTGTGAGAGAGAAGGAGTTCGTGGCCTTTTGAAGTAATCGTATCACACGTTAAGTCTATTTTTTTTCAGGATGATACACTGATGTTTTATTCTTGTGCGGCCAAATCCCAAGATTCCACTTCCTAGAACATTTTCTCCTTATGCAACCTCATGTCCTGCAAATGTATTTCCTTTACAACGTTTTTTATTTTTTTTGCAGGAACCATAATTGCCACCAGATTGCTCTGAGAACATAAAGTTGTTCATTTACATATTTGGCTCATAAGATGTGAACAAGTGAAGTGACTGGAGCGTTTTTAAACTTTTTCATTGCTCTCACGTTATTTGATAAAGGTCAGGGAAAGAATGACGACCACGGTGACTTCAGACACAATATTTAAGTAACACCACAATGGCAGCGTCACAGCGGCAAGAAGGTTCTGGGTTCAGTCTTTTCCAGGAAGAGTTTGCATGTTTTCTAAATGGATGGATGGAAAATACACATTACCTCTTCGAGCTGGCAGGGAAGCGGGGAAACTGACATTCGGGAACTTGACAACACGCGATAATGCAGCATGTCATCGGTTTGCTGATTTGCTGTTGTAACCCAAGACGCCGCAGTGAACACCAAACATTGTCGAGGATTATTGCTTCCTCAAGTGTTAGTGATCTAAATGAAGGTGTTGTGTTGTCGGTGAGCCTTCAGGCCAAACGTACGCCTGTGCCAGCAGAGCTCCAGTTTTCTTGTATCACTTTCGTGTGATGCAGAACTGACTATCCGATACGACTCGAAGAAATTACTGGATCTTCAAATGAAATCCTGTACGCTCCCACATTTACACGCACGGAGGTCATTGTGTGTCAAGACGGCTTTTTTTATTGCCACAAATAACTTCCTTACAAAAAGCTGAATCAGGACACAAAGACGAACGGCCTCCCCCTCCCCTGACCTGAGGTTTATTTTACCACTTCATCAAGTGTGTGTTTCTGTCACACAGGTTATGTGAAGTTTCACACTCGGTAGAAGACAAGATGAGCTCACCCGATGTTACAGTGCGCCGCGGTGACCACCCAGTACTTGTTTATCAAGGAGCCCCCGCAGATGTGCTGACGGTCTGTGGTCTGTATCGACACAATGTACTTGATTGAATGTGGAACTGGTGCGTATCCTCCCACTATGCGCTCCTCTGCCGGGTCTAGACCTGAAACACACACGGGGATGGAGATACAGATAAGCTCTGATTGGGTTTAGAGGGAGAGACACACGTTAGTCCAGGAGGTTTTTGTGTAAAACCACACGGAGCAAACACAGCTGTGGTTTTATTACTGCACTTGCAGCGTCAGCGGGAATAATAAAGAAATAAAAGAAACAACAGGGGGTTCAGAAGATCAGTGATAAGTCTGAACATCTTGTCATGTTTACACAGACGTATAGTCTCCATCACACCTACTGACAGATTCTGCTTTTCATATCGTGGTTTCAACCCTAACATTCAAATTGAAGCCAGTTGTATTTGATTTGATTATTTCCAATTTATATAATTTATTATAATCCACAATTCAATGGGAACTTTAAAACCGTTTCCCCTCATTATTCCAAGTTACTGCTCAGAGTGCCAACCTTTTACTCCTGCTTTTATTGGGTCATTTATCTGCAGCAATGAATCCTCGTGCAAATAAAGATTTAATTTAAAAAAAGCTGAATCAGTTGTGTTAGTGTTAATTAGTGGCTGTCACCATTTAGCTGGTGGGGCCTTCGCAGACACGTCGTTCACACGTCTGTCGTTCGTTTCACAAAGTGGGAGATGTTTTCAGTGTAGTTATGGTTTAAAGGTTCAGTGTTTAGAATTTAGTGACACCTAGTGGTTGAGTTGCATGTTGCAGATGAATACTCCTCACCTCACCTTTTGCCAAATCTTCTTTTACGTTCATTGTGAATTATCGTCAGATTTACTTAATTTACTTTCAGTCATCTTAGGGCATCAGAAACAAACAATGAACATCAGCTGATAGTTGTTGTTGAAACTTTTTTTACATATTGTGTAAATTAATGAAGGTTTGTTTGGTTTTGTTTTGCAAATTGCACACCAAGATGTCCGATCTGACAGTGAAAAATCTCCGGTTATCTTTAAGCGGTCACAGTATTTGGATACTCTGCTTTAGGTACTTTTACATTTAATACTTTGATTCAAAATTCAAAAACAGGAACTTGTTAACGTTTTCTCAGGTAGGAACGTTAATTGTGGTACTTTTACTTTTGTACATTTTTGTCTATTTATTCATACTTTCCTTCACCACCTGTTTGCTCAAATCACAAAACCTGAGGAAGGTAACAGTACTTGTTTAAACAGATCGTCACATGTCAATTTGTTCTCGCGCTGTTCAGAAGTATCTCTCAGAATTTGAAAAATGATAATTGAGGCTTTCCAACGTTCAAACTTCAGTGTCAGAGTCGACATAAAACAACTTCACACTGAAAAGTGAAAAATAAGAAAAAGACTTAACCTATTAAATAAAGTTAAACAAATAAAATCTTTACATTTTACAGACTGTGTTGGATTCACGACCTCGTTTCTAAAGATTGATGCAAACGTCTGGGACTTAATGTGATAAAGTGAACATCAGAGCAACTTCAGCCCCAGAGATGTCACCAGGGATGAAACTGCACCTTCTCATCTCCGTCCTGGATGTTGATCCGAAGCTATAATTAGCGGCCGATGCTGCGTGTCAAGAGCTAAGTGGTAACTCTACACAGAGATAAACACCCACATACAGGTGCTTATGTAAAACCCTGGACTTGAGTCATTAACAAGGAGTCTCCTGTTGTGCGTCATGTATATGATTGTATAGAATAAGATATAATATTCTGTCACTTATAAATTTTTATTCTCAGTCAGTTACATGTAGTTCACATCTAAATTACAGGTGGAACATAAAAGCTTATCAAACTTCAGTTGATCAAGTCCCAGATCCCAGACCCGTTCAAGATGGTTACCAGGGTTCCCGTTCACATTTTACCTTTGTGACATAATTGCCGGGCACAAAAGCGGGTGTTGGCCACGATTACTTGTTGTTCGTTACTTGTAGTCGGGCTTCATCTGTTGTTCCTGCAGGTTTCAAGTTCTTTTCATGAATAAGCACACTTTTACTGACCTTCTCATCTCAAAGACTCTTTATCTGAGGAAATACATCTTTGATGTCCAGAGCAACAAAGTGCATCTGAGAGGAGTTTCCACAATGACACTGGAAAACTATCAAGTGTATTTACGGCACAAAGCTCCGCATCAGGATGCGGCGATATCATCAAAGTGATGCTGTATTTAAAATATAATCATCTTTTCATTTCCTTCCCGTCTGAATCTGTTCCCATATTTCTCCACGTTTCTCTTCTTGTGTGATTTATGATTTCCAGCAAAGACACTCAGTCATGCCCAGATGAAAATGGCTCTGAGTCACACTTTCTTGCCAAAACAACGTCTCAAGGGACGACAGATCTAAAAGCACCACAGCTACAAGAAGTGGATGTTTCAAAACAGATGTAGACACAGTACATAAATACACATTTGGTGAATGAACCCAAACCTGTGAGAACCCCATGTTGTTTTTCCAGGACGTTAAAGTCACTGTGACCCAGAGGCTCAACTTCACTTAAAGCCCTTCTCATAAATAACCTGCAGATTCAAGATAAAGACGCTTACTTACAATTTACAGCCAGGAACTCCAACAGTATACAAAGCAGTAAAGATGGCAGCTCCATGGTGAGACAAAGGGAGCAGCAGACTCCGCACAGTGAGAGGCTTCACCCGTGCGCTCCTTGTCTTATCTTAACGCGAAGGCATCACACCTGCATTCTCAGGTTTCTTATAGTTCTTATTTCCGTTTCCATGGTCACCTCCTTGTCCTGAACAGATATATAATTGAAGCTTCTGCAGCACAGCCCCTTGTCTCACCTCGTCCACGACCTATTCAGGCTTCCTCACCCCCCTCCATTGTTCACCCATCACCCAGTTTATTGTCGGCCCATTCACTGTCACATAAAAAGGATATACTGCGTTTATTGTGTGGTCACGAACCTGTATGTCAGGTCCTGCTGCAGATGTTAGAACGTTTTTTTTTTTTATGCGGCTGCTCTCATGCTCCCAATATTTGACCCGTGTCATCTTTCCTGATTGAAGATGAGTGAGGGTCTCCGCAGCTTTTCTCTCCTCAAGGGATTTCCCCGAGTAGGATTGATGAGGGATCTGACTGATGACAAACAGCGGAGGTGTACGTGTCAGACCAGGTCAGGCCGGCAGGGCCGTCCAGTATCTATTCCAGGGGCCGGGTGTCATTAAAAATGGAGGAGGTCTCATCAACCCTCCGATGAGCCCCTGACCTCGGCCCTATCGTTTGCCCTCCCGGCTACTGATAGCTGCCGCCAGGCTCTTGAGCCGCTCTCATCCCCTGAGTGCTGACCACAGCCTTTTTTCCCACATGACCCACGGTTCAGTCCGAGCGATGGCATCATTACACGCGGCTGCCAACTCCCCGGTTCTCACATTCATCTGCCAAAGCACAAAACTTCAATCCAGACCCACCATGTGTGTTTTAATGCTCTCACTCACTGTGGCTTTGATTGGAATGATAAAAAACACAATAAACTATAATCGTGTATAACTTAGAATTTGTAGCCGTGGTTTACAGACACGTATCAATATATAACT